GCTACTTTGCACTCTCACGATGTTGAGAACTTTCTTAACTGCAGGCCCCTTTATGTCTTATTTTCCTTTGAAAACTTAAAAGCCCAGCAACTGTGAATAGAACATTGGCCAAACATGTTAACAGCCCAGGAGACATTTTTATTTCCTTTTACAAACTAATTTAAGTGAACCAGTCTATTAGAAAGTTAATTCCTATAATAGTGGCTACCCAGAAGGTGCCTTTTAAAGAAAGCATTGGCTTCTCTTTTGGGTCCACGAGGCAACAAAGGCACGAAAGAAGTCCAGCCTTTCTGCCTTCATCCCCTGCCTGTCTCCTTCCCCCAGGTTGTCTGTTTGCCTCTCTATGTAAGCTTGTCAATCACGTAAAAATGTCTGCCTAGTTATTTTAACCTTCTATCAAGCTGACAGCACAGAGGTAAGTTGTGGTCACAAACCTTGGAACAACAGAGTGTATCAGGGCCACCAGGTGATGGTAGTCATGCTTCCTGGTGAGGCTGCACCCTGGAATATAAATAGACATCTTTTGAGGACCAATCTGTCTACTCAAGCAGGGAGAACTTCTCTGAACCATAGTTTAGAACCAGAACTGAGACAGCATTGATCAGACCTTAGCCTGCCTGACCCAAGACTGCCAAACTATATATTTTTATTGTCTCTTGTTTCAGTCCAATCTAAAGCGCATGTCAGTAACCCAAAGATGGATTTGAGATAAATGGATTTCATTTGTCCATTCTTCCTGAGGCACACTGACTAATCTACCCCAGTGTTCCCCCCCATCAATCATATCTTTAACAGGTGCACTAGGATTGGTGGCTGAGCATAGCCTGTTTGGAAACTAGAGCCAGCAATGTTACCTTAAAACTCCAGTTACACCACGCAATAATTCACACTAATTTAGCGTTTTTAATTTATGCAAACATGCACTTAGAAACCAATTTGCTACCAGCCAAACAATATACAAATTTATAAGGACATTTTGAGTGTTAAGTCCCAAAGAAATCCAGGACAAATGGCTGACTGAGGTACCTATTAATATAACAAAATGGACTCTTACTGCCAGTCTCTCCCAGCATTAAAAAGTACCTGGTGCAGGGCTGGCTCCTCTGGCATGTCTCTCTCCCTAGCCTTACTTTTCTTGGCGTTACCCTAAAGTCACTTCTCCTCCATAGGGTCTCTGGCCAATCTCTTGATGACAAGAGAATGGCTTTGGATGTTGTGGTAAATAGACCTTACAAGGAGATCTTTGCAGGTAGCCACGATCATTCCATCTGGCCCGGAATGGATATTGATAATTCTAAAAAAAAAAAAAAAAAAAAAAAAAAAAAAAAAAAAAAACCTGTCTACAGACCTAGTTCTAGTCATTAAAGATCATGTAGGGCTTTCGATTTTCTCCAGGAAACAGAAAAAGTAAGGTGATGTACGAGCTAGGAGCAGAGAGTAGAGCTCTTCTCTAGCAGTCAAGGAAAGTCACCAGCATTTCACTAGTGCCTGTGGGAGAAGGACATGGGTTCAAGATACATCTCTGTGCTACTACTACAGCCGACCAAGAGGTGACATTTGAGGACCTTTACCCAAGTGATGCCAGAATTCCTAACGGGCTTATTTAGATGGTTAACAGAGATTTAAGTGTGGACAGCAATAGAAGAAGGATTTAGTCAAGCTCCTGTGAAGCCTTCTTAAGAGGGCTGTGTGTGTCTTCAGAAGGGTCATGTAGAAGATTTTGGTGATTTCGGGAATTTACTGCTTCAAGTGTTTCTAGGCAATTCCTCTATCTTTTGGTGAGTGGGATCCTGAAGTGCCTTGAACAAGAGTCTGTGATTTGCTAGTTTCAATTCTGTTACTATAGTCCATGTGCAGACAGGAGCAACTCTAAGAAAGAAAGGGTTTATTCTGTTTACAGTTCCATCATTGGGGAAGTCAAGGCATGACCTTGAAGCTTACAGCTGTGGGTTCTAGCCCCTTATTGAGGGGAGTCAGAGCAGGCACCAGGAGCAGCTAGCCATATCCAACATTGAGAGCAGAGAGAAGTGCATGAGGACCAGCCTACCACAGCGCTCATTCTCTTTCCTTTTATACAACGTATGATACAAACCCAGGGAATGATGCTGCCCACTTTCAGGCTGTGGTTCCTACATTAGGAATACAAACAAAACAGTTACTACAGACATCTCTACAGGCCACCCTAACTTGGGCAGTTTGCATTGAAACCAGTTTTCTGGGAGATTCTAGATTGTGTCAAGCTGACCCTTACAACTCTCCAACACACATGGGTAGAAAGACTGCCAATGGGATTTAATACGGTTTTTATTATAAATGGTGTTTACTGTCTTGTATATGGGAGATTCCCAGATAACTGCAGGTTTACACTTGTGAAAGAAGAAAGTCCATATTTGCTCATGTGAATTTAGGCCTTCGTCATTGCTATTGTTAGTCAGAAATGATCCCAGTAGCAAAGACAGATCATTAAGGCCAAGACAAATGAAAGAAGTCTTGTATAGCCCAGATGGATGCGGAAGATGCCAAAAGAGAACAAGGAGATGGCTTTGTTACTCGAGTTTCAGTGTAAAACACCACCTCTGAGGGTACCATGGACTCTCCCATGTTACTGCCCCCAACGGAGACAAGCAATGGCAATGGCAGAGATAGGAGCGTGTGTCACTGTAGTCATGTATGGAAGTACACATACAGCCCAGGACAGGCCCCGAGTCTGTGTTAAGGACCTGATAGGAAGTTTGAGATTTTGTAGATAAGAAACAAATGAGATAGCTAAAGCCCACGTAGATGGCATGTATGTAATAGCAGGCAAGGGCTTCCAGAGAAGCCATCACCGTAATCGCTCAAGATGAGTACTCTGCTTTCCACGTGGGGCTAACTCAGCGTGGGTAAGTGCCATTGTCTGGGACATGTTGTGGCCCCCATAAACTCATGTGTTTGGGAACATGGTCCCAACTTAGGGGAGTTATGAACCCTTTAGGATAGTGGTTTTCAACTTGTGGGTCACAGCCCCTTTGGAAAACTTGGACCTCCAAAAATATTTGCTTTACAATGCACAGCAGTAGCAATAAGCAGTAGTAAAAATAGTTTTATGGTTGGTGGCCACCAAACATGAGGAACTATGTTCAAAGGCTGCAGCATTAGGAAAGTTGAGAACCATTGCTTTGGGAAGTGGTACTTGCTAAAGGAGGGGTATCACCCAGAGTAGGGTTTCTTTGAAGTTTTATACCCCAGCAGGACTTCCCCTCTTGGCTTCCTGTGTGTGGTTGAAATGTGATCACTGTGCTCTTGACTGACAGGCCAGCCTCGTGCCTCCTGAGTGCCTGCCTCATGTTTCTGCCGCCATGCCCCCTGCCATCACAGCCTATGTCCCCTTTGGAACTATAAGCTAAATAACCTTTTTTTTTTAAGTTGCTTTTTGTCAGGGTCTTGTGTTACAGCCGCAGAAGTGTAACTAAGGCTGCGGAAGTGACTTCATCATGGGGGCTCCTGTCCTCAAGGCTTGTTCCTTCAGGGAAGTTTGATCCCTTATCGTGAAGATGGTTATTGATCAGTCCTATCTGATGTAACTACACAAGGAATGACATTAGAGGAAGTTGCTATATGGGACAAAGCAAAATAAAGCCAAAGTGGCAGAAATACAGCGTGTCAGGCCAGTAGCAGGGGTCCTTCTTCAGCTTTGACCCTAAGCATCTCCCCCTTCTCTGTGGGATCACTTGCTGTGATTTTTCTGTCCCAGCCGGCAACCATAGTCTGAAAACATTAAGTAGAAAATTCTAGAAATAATTGATACATGGTGTCAATTGTATGCCATTCTGAAAAGTAAGATGTTTGTTTAACCCGAGCATGAATGATTAGCCTTTGAGTGGCATCTCCATGCTTGTGTGAGTCGCCTACCCAAGAGCCTCTCGGTGGACTGTCGCCATCAGGTCATTGACTATACAGGGTCTCAGTGTTCAGTCTCAGCTAACCCTGATTAATGAGTAATCAGCCCAACATGGAAAAATAGTGATGCTGGCAATTGGGATGTGCTAAAGAGAGGCATAGAATGCTACCTTCCTGGGAAAAGGTTAACACTCTCGACTGAGAAAGATGCAGAGTAGGACCAGCTCCTCTACTATCATTGTGAGGTTGAAGAATTCTTGTGCTTTTTGCGATCACACACAGTACATAAGTGCTTAGTGAAAATAGAAAGGGCATTACACAAATGGTGTGTGTGTGTGTGTGTGTGTGTGTGTGTGTGTGTGCTGTGACAATCCAAACAGTTTCCAGTAGAACCCCTGGTTTCAGCATCTGCTGCAGGTCTGACATGGAATGCATCCCGCATCCCGTGAAAGAAAAGACTATTGCATGCATATCCATGGAAACAAATTGGGAGAAAGGTCTGATTGTAAGGGTGACAAGGAAACGAGGTGAAACTGTTGTGTGAATTTATCCCTGTGACTTGTGCAGGGATCAGAAGCTCTTATGATTTCGCCGCTTTCTCTTCATGGGCAGAACAGGGGATGCTCATGCAAATGCGGATTTCCACCCCCTCCCTTTACCCCCACTCTTACCCCCTCATTTCACCCCCTCCCCTAGTACAGGTACACAATGCAGGCTTCTGTTTTGGTTGCAAATTCCCGTTACAAAAGACTTAAGTTTTACTTTGTTTTCAGAATACTTCTTGGGTCTGCAGTTTCTCAAAATAATCAACTGAAAATAATCCTCGAATTTTGGGGTAGCATTTTCTAGTCTTCTACAATGAATTCAAAATGTTTCAAAAATAGAAGATAGTCTAAACCAGAAATTTCCTTTGCCTACTTAACAAGAAAACAAATTTTACCAACTGCTTGATATATATTTTGAGAGCACAGGGCCCATTTTCGTTCATTTTTGGAGGCATCTGTTGCATATGTGTTCATGCTAGACACTCTGGTGTAGCTGTTGGAAATCAGCGGGGTTAGAGGCAAGGCACAGAAGCTGAGTTCCAAGACTGTGTGTGAACGGTTAACTTGTTTCTGCAGCCTTGGAGAGCATGGAAGGATATTGCTATAGAGACAATGTTTCCGTGGAACAGTTTCAAGCCCAGATAAACGCCGCCTCCCTGGAAAAGGTCAGACAGTACAATCAGAAGCTCAGGTATGTAACCTCCACTCTTGTTGACTTAGCCTTGCTTTTCCTATTAGGCTGTCTGCTTTGGCCACATGAGCAGGATTTGTAACATTTTCATTAGCTTAGATTATTGGTATTCCCTTTGGTATTTATAATGTTTAATGTCTCATATACCCTAATGGCTATGCCCCGTGAAAATGAATAAGAAAAAGAGTTTTAGAATGTTGTGTGCTGACGTTTTAATTTCTAGAGAAAATGAAGGGATGTGATTTAAGTATAGCAGGGGAAATTTCATTATTTTATGTTGTGGCGACATCTACAGAAAGGGTCATTGAATTGCTGGGAAAATTCTTTCTTTCACGTGCCACTAAACAGCTGGCCCCTTGTATGAGGGGTGGGGAAGCTCTTATGAAGATATGACAGCTATATGCATGTTTTTGAAAAATATGACTTTATCCAAGTAAATGACACTTGACTTTTAATATTATATGTCTTCCTACACCATGACTGTTTTGTTATTATATATATTTTTTGTTATTTTTTTGTTATTATAGATATTAGCAGAGTTGGAAGCTTTTAAAGATGGATTCTTCCCTCATAGTTGGCTTTGAATCTAACCTATTTTCCTGGTAACACCACAAAAGAAAAAGTCAGCTACCGTCTCTTCAGGATTTAAAATAATAACTGGTAGAGTAGTGATATCAGGGTTTGGTTGAGACTCACTAAGGGAAAGCTACTTCTTCCTGACTCAAAGAATAGAATCTGCTTTCTAGCTGAAGTCCTACCTGGGTACTTAGCCTTCTCATGGCCCTAAGATTAGAACATTGTACACTAAAGTCTTCTGCAGCTGGGCCTGACAGTCACCTGACTAGAACACTGAAGCTGAAGCTGCGCTGAGGAGACAGGAGGAATGATTATCCCCCATTGAGATGATGTACTTACACTGCAGAGAAGCCCTTGGTGCCCCATGCCACACTGCTAAACCTGCCTGATTTTGTTCTTCCTCCTTTTAGATCCTAGTCAAAAGACTGAGCTTGCTCAGGGCTTTTTTCTTTTCTTTTCTTTTCTTTTCTTTTCTTTTCTTTTCTTTTCTTTTCTTTTCTTTTTTAACCTATGTTGGAAGGTGTCCTTGTTCCCTCCCTTTCTACTGCGCAGCTGCTTTGCTAAGCATGAGGGTTTTCTTGGACCCAAACTCAAAATGGAGTGACATCTTCTTCCTCTTCACCATCTCCCTACTCTGTGCAGCTTCTGAGATCTACACCTTGCCGGTCCTATTGTTATTCCTTCCAGACTCTAAGAAAATGATCCTCAAGATTCCTTCTATGGCCATTTAAAAATTCTCTTATTAGTATGACTAAGACTCCAAAGGGGGAACCACAGATTTCCTTGATAATATAATAGCAAGGAAAATGACTTATAACCAGCGGAAGGGAACTGCACTGTAACTTAGAAACTTTTATTTTCCGCAATTGTTAGAAGATCTTCCTCCCCACCCCTCTCTGTCTGTCTCTCTCTCTTTCTCTCCCCATGAACTGGTTGACAGATCACTTGTAAAATTACTTGACAAATTAGATTTTTTAAAACACTTTGAAAGTTAACATACAAAATAATATATTTCATTATAGTATTTTCATGTATACATATGGCACTATACTTTATTCTTATCCATTCTCTCTCCCTGGGGTCCTTTTTCTATGTACCCCTTCACTCTGCCCTCCTCTGACTGTGTTTTCCATTGCTGTGTTTTCCTTATCCCCACCCTCTCTTGAGATCTCTTCCTCCCCTCTTACTATCCTCTTTATAATTTCATGATTTTACACACATGCACACGCACACGCACACACACACACACACTCACACATGTGTATGCTGGGAGGGAGAGAGTGAGGACACAAGAGAGAGTTACAGATTTATAGTGTCATTCAATAAGACAGTATGATGCCTAGCTTTATGAGTCTGGCTTATTTTGCTTAGCATTTATTTTTAAAGGAAAAAAAATTGTCCTAGCTTTAGTTTTTGTAAAAATGATACTGTGCCTTCCTGCCACACACACACACACCACACACCACACATATATACACTGCAACTACTCTGAAGATTAAATTAATTCCCAAAATGACCAGCAGGGGGTGTTTGTTGGTCCAGGTGATTTTCTTCCTCTAGTAATACACACCTGTCCCTTCTCCAGTGCTCTCTGCTTCATCCGCCATTCATCATTGTTAGGAAATTTTATGTTCCTAATTTTTTTCAATTATTTATTTCCTCTTCCTTAGTAAATCCAATCTGAGATTCTGATGATTCATTTTCAATTGGCTTATCCTATTTCAATTTTGTTTCCTTGTCTAGATCACTGTTCCTCAGAGCTACAAAATGTACTAACTCTTTTCATAGGAAAGAAAAGTGTTAACCTTAAATCCATAATCAATTTGTTCCTAATTCCCCTAATAAGAAGCATTGGCTTAGGAAGATTAAGTTTGGTCTTGAGATTGCTAGAGGAGAATTTTGCCTTCCCAGCTAGTTAAATATATCCCTAGGTTGTTTTTTTAACTTTATCCAAAGTGAAGCTTTTCTATAGAACACGCAGGCTAGAGCATGCATCCGTAGGCTAGAGCATGCATCCGTAGACTCATCTTAAGAAAATAGACCATTGCTGAAGCATCCTACTTAACACTGTCTCAGAGCACCAGTCTTGTTTTTATCCGCTCAGTATTTTGCTTCCAGACCATGCCCCCTCCTATTTGTAGGTCTTTCATGATTTCCTGTTGTCTCCAGGGGAAATATCAAGCTCCTTAGTTTGGCCATGAAGCTCGTACATGGCCCAGCCCTACGTTTCCTTTCCCCACAGAGGCGTCAATCCTGTTCGCCTTCCTGACTGTGCCTCATCCTTGCCCTCTCTTGACTCCTCGTCTTCATTAGCATCTGCCTTCTCTGCTTCCCAGCTCCTGAGAAAGCCGTGCTTATGATTCATCTTCTCACACTGCTGTAGTCTTCTTTGTATTCATTTATTATAGACTTGGAATGAATCCTGGGTAGCAGATGTTTCAAAAGATGCCTAGGAGTTTAATGTACAGCCAGAATTGAAGACCAGCTCCTAAATCAGAAGTTCTTTAAAGGACAGTCCCCAGAGCAGCAATGGCAGTGTCTCTGCGAGCTTCTGAAAACCTCTTGAGTGTGCCCCACTGCCTGGGTTGTAACAAGCTTTCCCCATGATTCATTTTTTCTCACACTCAAATTTCAGAACCACTATCCATACCTAAATGATGGAGCAGCCCCCTCCCAGTGTTTTATGTTAATTACAGCTGTCGGTTTTTCTTCTAGATGATGTTATTGTTATACATCACTCACCTTCTTTATTGTAATATCAATTCTTTGAGTTGAGGGCTTAGCTGACTTTAATGTCCCTTCTTGTATTTATCAAAATATTGGTGCATAAAAAGCTCTCCACTGAGGTGTGTTGAATCACATTACTGATATTGGTTATTTTTGTATTGCTCTGGCAAAATGCTACATACAAATAACTTGAGAGAAAAGTTTAAATCATGGTGACGGGAACACAGTGCATCATGGAGGGGTAGTAGGAGTGTGAGGTGGTATCTCCTTCCTTCTTGGGTCACAGAGTCAGACCCAAGCCAGAAGCAAGTATAACAACAAAAGCCCAATCTTAATGTCCTCCTTCTGACAGTATCCACATTGCATACTCTTGACTTCCAGACAACACCAACAACTGGAACCAAATTATCTAAACGCATGCACTGTGGGGGATATGCCACACACTTTGTCCAAACTATAGCAATGATATTTATGCTGAACTAGCAGAAAGCTATGGGGAGTAAAACCTAACTTCCTAATTCTCATGACTCTACTTTAATCAGAAATTTGTGTGTGTGCACTCATGCACGTGCACTTGTTTGTGTGCATATACACATATACCTATATACAGCTATTTATATATCTATATATAATATCTGACAGGACAGTTATCGATGATTGCGAAGAAAATAAAAAAAGTGTTGCACACAATTCTGCTTTTATGAGAAAACATTGTAATGTATCTCTCTTCAAGAAAGGTTTGTAAATGTAGGTACTCCGTGGTAAGAAAAACATTAGGTGCCTTTGTCAGTAATAACCTGCTATCAGTCTGCCCTCCTTGATACACATAGATTTCCTGTGTACAGGAAGGCAATTATCTTCCTCCTTCCAGAAGTGCCTTCTCCTCTTGCTTGTTTCTTGAAAATGTAGTCAATTTCTTCTTTAACATTTTCCTGTGGCTTTGCCCAGATACTTCACCAATCTGCTTTTGTTTTTCAGAGCCACGAAGTAATATTGACCATTTCAAGAAAGCTGACTGACCCTCTTAAAAACAGAGCTTTTTTCTTTTTCTTTTCTTTTTTTTAATTCCCCATAACCAGAGTGGATGGGTTCTTCCATCCACTTTCTTTCACTCTTTCATCATCTAATACTGAACGTATTTTATTTACTCATTGGATTTCAGAAAACATCTTTTTGGCCTTCACCTGTGTGATTAGAAAACATTTTTTCAATGACAAGCTTCAGAAAATAAACTCGAGCTAGTATAAACAAAACAATGTATTGACTGTGTGACGCAGACATCCAGGGCTGCGGTGACTTCAGTCTGGGGTATAAGTGCTCTCCATTCTGTTTGGCACTCCTTTCCTCTGTGTGGATGCATTTCATTCTCCCATCGGGGCAAATGTGTTCACTAGAGACCAATGTTACTCATAGAATGAGAGACAGTTACCCTGCATCACCAGCTCTACTGAAGGATCTGGGATGGACTTGCAGCTAGAGCCTGGTCCTTTCCAAGGACCTTGAGTATGATGGGCCAGTGGACCATCACATGAGAAGGGTTTTGTGAGAGTAGAAGCACTGGGTGCTATTGGTGTGGAGCAGCCTAGAGTAGATGGGCACAATTGTCGACCTAGCAGAAAATGACAAATGTCAACCCTACCAAATCTTTAGGATATTTGGAGTCAGTCCCACGAAAGAAAAGTTATATGATTATTTAA